CAACGAAACACACAGCGTCTTCACAACATGGCGGTGGCGGTGGCAGCAGCAACAATAAAGTTATGCCTTCTTTCTTTGCGTGAACATTTGGGCGGCGTTATGCAAATCTTCCCACATCGTGACGTAGACATGTGGGGGCGTGTTTGAACGAGGGGTTTAAGGAGGGCGTGGACCAGTCTTAACTTTTATAAAGAATATCTCTTCGGGTTTGAGACTTTAGTCTTTGCAACTTTAGGAATCTTATCTATTCACAAACAGCTTGTAACACTCCAAAGAGAAAGGAAAACTTGAAATCACGTCATATGATCCCTTTAATGCAGCTCAGAGAGGACATGGATGTATTTAACCTGCAGTTACAATTTCATAAATAATGCTTTCTTTTAAACATAAAACGTTGATTAATGATATTTGAAATGATTTAAAACATGAAAACATACTAGGTGGCAGCAAGTCACTGTTAACGAGTGAGATTCAAACGATTCATTCAAACGGCTGATTCACTCAGGAATCAGTCTTTTGATTGTGGTAATGAGTGAGTCACTGAATCATTCGTTCAACCGATTCGTTCACAAAGCTGATTCATTCAATAAGTAAACACTCCTGTGTTGCTCAGAGACGCAAAACATGCAAGTCACTTGATGCTAACTTTATTAAACTTGTATAAAATCAATATTACATTTGTTATCATGCTGATATCTAGAGGAAAAACGGCACTCTTTGTGTGATATAGATTAACTATATTAAATTCTATAAATATAAAAGACATACAGAAGCATTTTTGCCGCCTACAATTTAGAATGCCTTGAATTTTGATGATTCTAAATGCGACTAAAGCCTGGAATAGGCTACACTGCACGATTTTTGCCTCGATTTTAGTCTGGAGAAGTCTGGAGAAGTTGATGCTAAAAGTTGCCGAAAGTCAGAGCCAGTCTGCAGATTTGAGTTGACAGATTCTATAGAAAATCACGTAGCGTATGATGGTCACAGACTCCGATATTTTAGCTTAGACTAAAGAACGCAAAGAACGGACTTGTGTTCTCGTGGAGACTGGTCTTGCCAGGCTAACGTTACCTTGAAAGAACGAACTCGGAAGGACGCCAGAACACAGAACGCATATATATATATATACCACCATTGGTCAATTTAATGCATTGTTGCTGAATAAAAGTATTGATTTGTTTAAAAATAAATTCAAATAAAAATCTTACTAAATCAAACTTTTAAATGTTAGTGTTTTTTCTTTTCTTGTTTCTGTAGGGACAAAAAAGAAGACCAAAGTCATCAAAAATAATGTCAATCCTGTGTGGAATGAGGTTGGTTAATTGCTTCAGTAACACTTTATTTTAAGGACCAATTCTCACTATTAACTAGCTGCTTATTAGCATGCATATTACTAGCATATTGGCTGTTTATTAGTACTTGTAAAGCACATATTACTGCCTTATTATGCATGACCATACTTTAGATCCCTTAATCCAACCCCATACCTAAACTTAACAACCACCTTACTAACTATTAATAAGCAGCAAATTGGGAGTTTATTGAGGGAAAGCTCTCAATTAATAGTGAATGTGTTCCCTATTCTAAAGTGTTACCATTGCTTTTTACAAATATTAATTAACCACTACTGTTACTATAATGAGATTTATAAACGTTTGCCAAGTCATTATTCTGTTCCTTTTCATCATTCCCTTTTCTTTCTCTCAGGGCTTTGAGTGGGACTTAAAGGGTGTTCCTTTAGACTCTGCAGCAGAGCTTCATGTTGTCGTCAAGGACCATGAAAAAATGGGCAGGAATAGGTAAGGTCTCTCTCTTTTACTCTCATTTTCTCTCTATTTCTCTTTCTGTTCATAAGAGTGTACGAATGTGTCCCTCAGAATATTACGCAAAAGCAACTCCTCTGCCAACATGAAACAATTGCTCAACAATTCAGCTGGGAGAGCTGTAGAATTTATGGAATGCACCATTGTTTAAAAGACTACTGGCATTAGTGTGGACCGTGGTAAACATTTGCTGTGCGTTCCCATGTTCTCATTATAACCAGAAGTGGTTCCTTACTGGGCTTTGGCTTTTTGCTTACCTCCATGAAATTAGGCTGATAGAACAAACAAAATCTGGTTTTAGGTAATTTTTATACCTAATTCAAACGAGTTTTTAAAAATTAAAATAGTTTCTAAATTCATTATCACATTAATATTATTATCATGTTAATATTTATATTAAATTACTCAAATACAGCATCCCACTCTGACACATTTACATTTTTAGTTTCTAAGCAATAGAAAGTCATGCATGCTCATATAGTAAGCGTCTACCTACAAGTTTGGGGTAAGATTTTAAAAATGTTTTTAAGGTTTCTTATGCTCATCAAGGCTGCATTTAATTGATAAAAATACAGTAATAACATGAATATTGTGAAATATTATTACAATTTAAAATAAATGATTTCTATTTTAACATGTTTTCAAATGTGATTTATTCCTGTGATGGCAAAGCTGAAATTTCAGCAGACAGAAATCATTCTAATATGCTGATTTGGTGCTCAAGAAATATTTCTTATTATTATCAATGTTGAAAACAGTTGTGCTGCTTAATATGATTGTGGAAACTGTGTGATCCATTTTCATCAGGTTTCTCTGATTAATAGAACATATGGTAGAACAGCATTTATTTGAAATAGAAATCTTTTGTAACATTAGAAATGTGTTCACTATCACTTTTGATCCCTTTAAAGCATCCTTGATAAAAGTATTAATTCCTTCAAAAAAGTCCTACTGACTCCAAACTTTTGAACAGTAGTTTATGTCCCAGCATGCACTGCTTTTACTAGGGTTTCCAGTCTATTGTAGCCTTTAAAACATGGAACCAATAAATGTGTTAATATAAAAATCTTTTCCTCGTTGTGTTTCAAAAAAATGTTGCCACATTTAAGTGTAAGGAAGTATGAATTTCTGTAGTGGACAATTTATTTTACAAAAAACAATATGTTTCAATGCACTACGTCAAAACTTTTACATCAGTACCAATAATCTACATGCCAAAACATTGATCTGTTAGCATTTTTTATTATTTGCGTTTTCTCTGTTTGATACTCGAGTAAACACACGAAATAACAGAGATGAAAATAGAGTCAATGAATGCTATATTAGCATAACACACTTGAATACTGGGTGAAATATTTTCAGTATAATGAAGGAATAAAGTAATAGGAGAGGAGGGAAAGAAAAGGAAGGAAGAGGGGAATGCCCACAGGAAGTGAGTCAGGGTGGTTTACCATGTCTCCTCTTTCCTTTCAAACCTTATCTGAGCCTAAGAATGAAACAGAAGAACAGCAATTTTTAGAAAAGCTGGCCAGACAGTGAAAAATATGTCATTCAGGGTCAGATGCATAGTCATGTGTCACAATTGTTTAGCTTAGTAACTGTATGTCTGTGTTTATTTTTATTTCTTGGCATTAATCCTCATCTTTAAATAGCATGGCAGTTGTTAAATAGCCCTTTGTGAATCTTTACAGGTTTCTGGGGGAGTGTCGGGTAACTCTTCGAGATGTGCTCAACTCTCCCAACCTAGCTGCTACTTTCACTGTGTCCCTGGTGGACACCAAAAGGAACAGCACAGGGGTGCGTTTATCTATTTGTCACTGTTTTCACTGACTTTCAAATTTACTTTCACGCTAACTGACTGAACAATATACAGCTTGGACCTTTACTGTTGGTGGCAACTTCCCACCTTCATGTCTACTACAGTCTGAACATCCCCTATCCGTACAGAAAAGAATATTTTCCATCATAAATTCACGTCATCCCTGTCCCACATGTAATTTAAGAAAGACATTTTGAAGAAATGCTACAAGGCTAGGTCTTACACAACAGAGTGCCACTTCCTGGCATTGTGTGTAAGAGTATATTTGCGTGTAGGTTGATGTTGAGTGATTGAGAGCAAAAAGAAGGAGAGGGAAATGTGGAGTTGGTTTTCTTAGCTCCTTTGCATCCGTGTGCTCTTGAAATAGCTGATTCCGGAAATAATTTCAGGAAAGTACATTATAAGGTATCACCCTGACGCCGGTCTAATCTCAAAAACAACTCCAGCATGCAGCTTTTCTTTCCCACCCTTCCCAAAACAGCAACATCTTCACTCAGAACTTTGATAATAAGTTCAAAATTAATCAAGTATTTCTTTTAAGTAATTTGACATTTAGCAGATACACAAATATAAAACTCTATTAATGAACAAAAAGGGGAAAAGGGGAAAAAACAAGTAGACTTGCAACAGAAAGAAGCAGCATGATTAGGTGCTCAACATCTTCAGAGTTAAATGTGACCCTGGACCACAAAACCAGTCTTAAGTCGCTGGGGTATATTTGTAGCAATAGCCAAAAATACATTGTATGGGTCAAAATTATTGATTTTTCTTTTATGCAAAAAACCATTAGGATAATAAGTAAAGATCATGTTTCATGAAGATATTTTGTAAATTTCCTACTGTAAATATATTAAAACTTAATTTTTGATTAATAATATGCATTGCTAAGAACTTCATTTGGACAACTTTAAAGGTGATTTTCTCAATATTTTGATTTTTTCGCACCCTCAGATTCCAGATTTTCAAATAGTTGTATCTCTGCCAAATATTGTCCTATCATAACAAACCATACATCAATGGAAAGCTTATTTATTCAGCTTTCAGGTGCTGTATAAATCTCAATTTCGAAAAATTGACCCTTATGACTGGTTTTGTGGTCCAGGGTCACAAATAAGGTAAAACTACAAAATAGAGTTTAAATATACAGTAAACAGTATTATTGTGAAGTATTATAATTATATATAATATATTAATATTATATTGTAAAATGTCATTTATTACTGTAATGGCAAAGCTGAATTTTCAGCAGTCTTCAGTGTCACATGACCCTTCAGAAATCATTCTGACATGCTGATTTGCTGCTCAGGAAACATTTCTTCTTATTATCAGTGTTGGAAACAACTGTGCAAATAGCAAATATTTATTTTTGGAATTAGATTTTTGTTGCGGATTTTTACATTGTTGTTGCATCATTGCAAATCTTGTGCTCTTTTCTTCAGTCTTTCTGAGAAATGTCAAACCATCTTCAATCTGTTTTCCCTCTTCCAGGCCACAGTAAACCTGCAGGTTTCCTACATCCCTCCTCCAGGGATGGCTCCCATCTTCCAGCCTCATCCACAGCCAGAGGCCCAGCACACCCCAGTGGAGCTGGACACAGTTACAGGTCAGTCTGCTAACACAGAAAATACAGTAGCTCCCATTCATACACACATGTACTGTGAGATCCCTGTTAAAGGATGCCTAAATTTGATTTCACTAATACGGTATTTGTCAACTGAGGGCTGCATCAATATGATTACTCATTTGTGTGATGTGATTAATCTGACTTGTGTATACATGCAGTTTTCTCATTGGACACTATGGATGAGGAGGACACTGAGAGCATGCTGATGATGGAGGTGGTGGAGGAGACTGAACCGGTTCCAGGGCCTCAGGGTCAGGACACCGGGGCCCCTACAGCACCACCCAAAAAGGCTCCACCGAACTTTAACCATGGCCAGAAAAAGAAATGCCACAGCAACAAATCCCCCCTGTCCCACACACCCCAGGACCTCCAGGTGTGTATGTGTGTGTATATCTATGTTTGTGTGTGTATGAATCTACAGTTTGCTTTGTCGTGCCATATGCCACCTTATTTCCTCAAATAACCTTTTTTTTTGTATATCTCTGTCAGTCAGTCATTATGCTGCAACAAAAATGGCTTGAAAATAAGATGTAATAAGGGGATTAATAGTGGTTAATTATATTTATCTGTATTAAATGTCAAACCCTGTCCACTGGATCAAATGTTCATGCTATATGTCTGCTTTAAAAAATAGGGCCATCTTGTGGCAATACAAAGTAGGTGAAGTAAGTCAAAAATTTATTTTGGCTTCAAACTGGTTTATTTGCTCCAGGCAAGACAATGTATTCTACATGTTAATTAAACAAATGTCTGAGCATTGTTTTCTAGAACAGATCCAAGAATAACAAAAAGTTTAATTTGGATTTGAAGAAAATAAGTTTCCAAATATATTTAAGCCATTGGTTCTCATCTCAGCTGAAAGATTTGTGGAGAAAAATGCTAAATGCTAAATAAATAAATAATAAAATCCAACTAACAAAACAATCTATCGTTAGACAGAAAAATAAATACCTTAATGAGGAAGGAGAAAATGCTTATTTTTTTCTTTTATTTTTGATGTTAAAAGCTGTGCATCTAATCAGACTCTTGGTATAAATTAATTTGTCATTTGGTAGAGGCTTGCTGAATTAGGCAGATTCCAGCATGAAGGTGACATGTCCTTAATGATTTATATTAAGTATAATAATAATAATAATAAGAACAATAATAGTAAAATTTATATAGATGGATAATAGGTGGTTATATCCAAAGATGCTTTAATTTCCTATTTAATAATGTCATCATCAATGACTGTATTTCTAGAAACATGAATTCAGTGTATGTTAAATTTAGGTACGGCTGCGCATCATTGAGGGAAGACAGCTCCCTGGTGTCAACATTAAACCAGTTGTCAAGGTCACAGTTGGAGGACAGACAAAGAGAACACGCATCAGGAAGGGCAATAATCCATTTTTTGATGAGGTAACACATTTTTTTCACCGTTTTGTTACTGGGGGAATACAAACTATGTAAATGAATGTATATGCTCAATAAATTTAATTGTATGCATATATTCTTTACTTTCAGACTTTCTTTCTAAACTTCTTTGAGAAACCTTCAGATCTTTTTGATGAGCCTATATTTATAACCGTAAGTTATATTATTATCATAATTAATGTAGTTGATGCTGTTGTTTTCATTTAACACACACCTTCAGTTGTCTTTATCTTCTCTATGCCCGTTCCAAGGTATTTGACTCCAAGTCACTACGGAAAGACTCTGTCATTGGAGAATTCAAGGTAGATTTGCTCATATTTCTTATTTTTCTTCCCTCTTAATCATTGTCCGCATTTGGTGGTTTCTTCTCATTTCCAATGAGTTCCAGGATTTCTTTATTTTTATTTTCTTTACTGGTCACATGCATGTGTCTGTAATTTCAGACTTTGCTAATAATAGTGCTAATTTTGTTTCATTGTTTTGTCTTTCAGCTGGATGTTGGCACGGTGTATAATGAACACCGTAAGTACCACATAGTCATAATGTGATGTTAATTGCTCTTTTCAAAAGCACTATTTGGATTGTGTCTCAGAACAAACAAAACTCTGGACCTGGACACTGTTTTGAGTCTTAAATATCAGTTTTGAAATTCAATCAAGCTTGTTGCCTCTAAAATTGAAGCTAAAAAGCCCCACAGTGGTTTATATTTAAAATTCTTTTTTTCTATTCCACTGAAAAGGACATGCTATTCTCAGGAAATGGTTGTTGCTGGCAGACCCTGATGATCTTTCTGCAGGGGCCAGAGGTTATTTAAAGGTCAGCATGTTTGTGCTGGCTGCAGGTGATGAACCTCCGGTAAGTGAGAGATAGATTGAGCATGATTTGGCATGTTAACAAATCGAACCTTATTGCATAGTTTTCTCTTTTGAAAACATCAATGCTGTGTGTCAGATGGATAAGAAAGAGGGCCTGGAAGAAAAGGAGGATATAGAGGGGAACCTGTTGAGACCAGCTGGTCTTACCCTGACAGGAGCCACGTTTACTCTCAGAGTGTACAGGGCAGAAGACCTGCCTCAGAGTGAGTATCAAACACGTCGGTGTGTAGATGTGTGTGTTGTCTGTTTCATCTCTTAATCTGCTCTTTTTTAGTGGATGATGCTCTTATGGATGGTGTCAAACAGTTCCTTGGTTTTGAAACTAATCGAAAGAACCTGGTGGATCCATTCGTGGAGGTCAACTTTGCAGGAAAAACGGTACTTCTGTTTTTGTAATTGGTTTAATCATGAGGTATTCATAAGTTGCTGAAGAGGTACTGACATTATATTCTTATATCTCTAGATCAGTAGTAAGATTCTGGAGAAAACTGCTAACCCTCAGTGGAACCAGAGCCTCACTCTACCCATCAGGGTAAAGGACATACACTCACCTCGCAGAGCAACATAACAAGTCCTTCATTAGATCTATTAACAGTCTGTTTTTCACTCCAGTTCCCATCCATGTGTGAAAAGATGAGGATACGGATTTTAGATTGGTGATTTAAAATTCTCTTTCTTGTATTTAAAAAACTAACCACCATATATTAATATGGATTTCTTCATTTCTGACAAAAATGTGTTAGATTACATACCTTCTCATTCTTATTCTCTTAGGGATCGTGCTAGCCACAATGATGTTATTGGCACTACACACTTATGTATTTCCAAAATCTCAGCCCCTGGAGGAGAAATTGAAGGTAGGCTTTGTTTTGTAGTGTACAAATTGTTGGTTTAAGGCTGTTGTTACGTGGTAGTGGCAAATCTAGGGGGCTCCTTGGGTCACTCTCCTGATTTATAGCTTTTGTACTCTCTATACCAGTGCTTCTCAACCTTTTTAATTCCAAGGTTCACAACAATACATTTCAGAATTCTAGAAGTTTTAAAGGGGTGGTTGATTGCGATTTCACTTTTTTAATGTTATTTTGTGTGTAATGTTGCTGTTTGAGCATTAACAATATCTGCAAAGTTGCGGCGTTGAAAGTTCAATGCAAACGAAGATATCGCATTTTAAAATTCTGTCAGTTTAATGCCTACAAAAATGGCTGGTAGGGACTACAATGAGTAACTTCCCGGGTTTGTGACATCACAAACCAGACAAACCCCGCCCCCGGGAACATGCAACAAAGGGGGCGAGGCCATGCTGCGCTGCTTTAGAGAAGAGGAAGAAAACGTCTCGGTTACGTATGTAACCCTCGTTCCCTGAAGGAGGGAACGGAGACGTACGTCGGAACTGACCGACGAATTGGGGATCGCTTTGGGAGACCAATCTACTTCGAGTGTAAGAAAAACGAGCCAATGCACATTGGCATGCGATAATTGCCACAGCTGCTCTGCGCTGCAGCGAGAGTATTTAATGAGCAGTCGGTGCGTCGCATATTTGCTTTTCGCTTCGGAGCCGAACACATGTGCTGTTCCTGCGCGTGTGTTTTCTTTGGAAAGTGGTGGAAGACGAGCTGCTCGTTTAGGAAGGAGCCTCTGCGTGTCTGGTGCGGGTGTGACGGTGCTGACAGTGTTGGTCGCAATCTCACGAGAGAGCAATGCTGTTCCGCTCAGTGTGACTATTTGGATAACGCTGGGAAAGCGTGCCCTAAAAGGGAAGGGGACGCTGGGGACGCTGCGTCCTGTCCGTAGGAAGCAA